TGATTATAGGGGCATCAGTAGTGTGAACTAAACAAGTGTTTATTTGGTGTTAAAACAGAAACAAGATGAATGGTGATGGTGTGGTGCATGGGTGTCAATGAAGTGGGCTTTCTACTCATTCATGTATGAGCTATCCAGTAACGTAACAACTCCCCACTACTCTTGAATTCTAAGCAACTACATTTTGTCTTTAACCACTCTGCAACACCAAGTTTTTTTGAATGCTATAATAACTTATTTGATCAATACTACCTATCCATCTCCTATTCATCTTGCTGATCTTCCCTGAATACCTTGAAGTTTTCAATATCAGATTTCTAATGCTGCCTTGCTCAAGTCAGTCACAATTCTTGCCATATGTTGTAGTCACATGCCTACTTGTGCCTGTGCCTCACCAGTCTGATTTATGATTTACAGGAGCACTCAATCTTAGTCTGCCTCGTTTTTACCACTGACTGGTTCCAATTTCTCAACTACTTTTCAGTGTTATTCATCCCTCCCACAACTGTTCACCTCATTCTGGTCTCATCTGGTGCCAACTTCCTCCCAAACTAATTTCAACTCTTCACCACAGCAACAGTAAGAAGGGACATAATAGCACGAGTACACTTTTCAACCCTTTAAGCCTACTCTTCCACTCAACAAGGTCATGTGGATCAGGTCGTGATCTCAACTGTGCTTGCCTGTTTGCTCTTCCTTACCTTTGATTCCTTTGTCAATCAAAAATCTGCCCAAATGTGCCTGGAATAAATTCAATGACTCAGCCTCCACTGCTTTCTCGGGAAGCAAATTCCATGTTAGCAAGCCTAACGAATTTACTGCCTCCTCTTCCATCATAAAGAAGAATGCACAGAAACAATTTTTATGGCGCAAGAGGTAGACAGACATTCAGCCCATCATCCCGCACCAGATCTATTCCCTAGTGCCAATTGCCTGCTTCTCCCAATACCCCTGCACACCATTTCCATTCAAATAATCATCCAATGCCCCTGAATTTCTCAATTAAACCTGTTTCCATCACATTTCCAGGCAATGCATTCCATACACTATCAACTCGGTGTGAAAAAGCTTTTTACTCCCATCACCCTTGCTTCATTTGCACATCATTCTAAACCTCTTAAGTCTTAAATTGCTCCCCCTCAGTTCTAGTCTCTTCACTCAGAATACATAACATCAAGTCCCCACAGGATCTTGTAAGTTTAACTTTATGCATTGATACTGATCCCAGCTCTGTTGAGATGAAACCTTGAACAGTCTCTCCTGATCCCAAAGCACAAGAAATCAGACTTCTTACCTCCCATCTTTTCTCCTGCCATATGTTTTATCCTAATCATTATTATACTGACACACGTGGCATTGGGAATAATCGGAAGTCACTATCTTTGAGTTGCGATTTTTAAATTTCCTCAAATTCATGAAAGTCTTTCCCACAACAGCTGATCCTCCTAAGCACTCAGATGTCAGTTAGCTCAGTTAGCTAGTCAGCTAGCTTGCAATGCAGAGTGACACAAACAGTGTGGGTTCCATTCCCATACTGGCTGAGGTTCCCATTCCCAAACCAGCTGAGGTTATCATGAAGAACCCTCCTTCCTGAGGCTTGGTGGCCCTCAGGTTAAACCACCAGTCATCTCTAATGAGAGAGCAACCTATGGTCCTATAGGACTATGGTGACTTTACCCTAAATCAAGGTTACTGGGTGCCACATGGACCTTGATTTCTGGTTGTTCTCCTGCTCCATTTCAAACCACAAGACTGTAAGTAAGAGGAACAGGAGTGAGCCAGTCGGCTCTTTGAGCTCACTCCGCCATTCAATAGAATCATGGCTGATCCGACATTATTCACATTTACTTTCATGCATTTTCCCCATAACCCTTGATTCCACTCCTGATCAAGGATTTATTTCAACCTTAATTACGCATTAGGACTCTAAATCACAGCTCTGTGACAAGACCCAACCCTCGGAGAAGTAATTCTTCCTTATCTCATTCCTAATTGGTGCCCCTTTATTCTGAGACTATGCCTCTGGTCCTAGACTCTCCCACGAGGGGAAACATCCTTTCAGCATTTACCTTGTCAAGCCCCTTAAGAATCCTAGATTTTTTCAAAGACCTCTCACTCTTCTAAACTCCAGTGAATACAATCCCAACCTGTTTAGCCCAAGGCAATCCCTCCATACCAGGGATCATCCTAGTAACCTTCTCTGAACTACCACAAATGAAATGATATTTCCTTAAATAAGGAGACGAAAATTACTCAGTCATCCAGATTGGTCTCACCAGCTTCCTGAACAGTTGCAGTAAGACTTCTCTACTCTTATACTCCAACCCAATTGAAATAAGGATCAACATTCCATCAGCCTTCCTGATTACCTGCTGCACCCATGTGCTAGTTTTCTGTTCCATGCAAAAGTCCCCCCCCCAAGCCCTTGTGTTGCAACTTTTTGCAGCTTTTCTCTAAATATTTTGGTTTTGTTCTCCTTTTCAAATAAACAACTTCATATTTTTCACATTATACTCCATTCGCCAACATTTTGCCCATTCGCTTAACCCAATATCTCGAAGCTGCTTGCATCTCTTGCAACTTGCCTTCCACCTATTTATTTGTCTGCAAATTTGGCTACAGTACTTTTGCCTCCTTCCTCCAAGTCATTAGGAGAAATTGTAAACAGTTCAGATCCCAGCACTGTTTCTGTGGAAGCCCACTGGTCACAGTTGGCCAAGCCAAAATAGAACACCCTATCTCTAGCCACTGTTTCCTGTCCAACAGCCAATTCTCTGTCCATGCCAATCTACAACCTCCAACTCCATGGGCTCTGACTTTATTACTTTATCTTTTGTGAGGTACCTTATCAAACACCAAGCCTTCTGGATGTCCTTTGCCAAAGCACCAGAAATGAAACATAAAATATAGGACTCACATTGGCAGTTGCGCAGCACTGACTGTCAAGACCCTTTCAGTGCCTTGTGTTTCACTGTTTCCCAGTGCAGTTACTTTCCCCATGATGCCTGAAATCTATGCCAAAGTTGACATCACCCTTACTGGTACTCAGTGCCAAAAGTTGGTTTGAAAGTCTTACACTAGGCGAATCCTACAACTCCTGCCTCTTCATATCCTGGTGGACAACGAAGAATTTATTATCGTCCTGTCTCTGCCCAAATCTACACACCGAGAAATTCTCAGTCACAGCTCAGCAGTGCCCGGGGAGCTCAGAAACATTAAGGTTTAACTTGAGCAACGACAGTAGTGCTGGCCAATAGAAATCAGTGATCTTGTGGCTACGAGTGCACTGTTTCAGCCACATGCATTAATTTTGGTCAAATACTTTACCGACCCTTCATACATGCAAATATCAGTGTATTACACAATTGTTACAATACAGAAGATGGCTATTTAGCCAACCATGCTTGCACCAGTTCTATTGCTATTCAAATAACCATCTAATTCCCTCTAGAATGCCTTAATTGAATCTGCTTCCACACATTTCCAGGCACTGCATTCCATACCATAACTACTCACCGGTGAAAAAGTTTTTCCTCACATCGCCTTTGCTTTCATTGCACATCACTTAAAATCCATGCCTTCTCATTCTTCTTTATTTAACAAATGGCAACCGTTTCTCCATATCTACTCTACCCAGCCCACTCATGATTTTGAAAGCCTCTATCAAATTTCTTCTTAGCCTTACTCAATCCAAGAACAGTTCCAACTTCTTCAATCTCTCCTCATGATTGAAGTATACATTTAAATACATACTACCACACAAACTGGATGAAAGAAATTTGTTTTTGAAAAATGCATTACACAAAAATTTTCATTCCACTGATTTAACACATGCACAGAAAGGTTACGCTCCATATGGCATATGTAATGTGAACATGCACGGCGAGACCACATAGCCAACCACAATTTCCACGGCTCATTTTTGACTATTACTCAAATGCAATGAGCGATCGGCAGGTTCCTAATTAGCCACATGGCTGACAGATTTGACAGCACTAAACTGGATGCAGCCCTTCACCAGCTTTGCATGTAAATTGATTAATTGAAAACAACGAGGATTTAGGGTGATTTGGTGGTAGAGAAAAACAGCCATTTAGTTTGTATAAAAGCACTGCTAAATATAAAATGAAAAACAAAGAAAAAACTGGATACACATGCATGCATGGTTATCCAGGACATTAAGCATCCGAGAGATCCCACGTGGCATATAAATTGCAGGCAATGGATCTCATTCATCCTATCTTTATCCTTGAATAACTCCACTTTGCACAACAGCTCGATTGGGAGAATGTTAGACTGAAGATCTAAAAGTCTCTGGTTCAATCTCAGATTTCAGTAGTGAACAGATTCAGTTGCTAAGGTCTTGTGGTACAGTGGTAGTGGCCCTAACTCTTTGCCAGAATACCTAGGGTTCAAGTCCGACCTCTCCAGTAATCTGTCATAACTCTGAACAGTTTGAATTAAAAAGCACAGAAAATATAACTCCATTGCTAAACCATTACAGATGTTTTTGTGTCCATCACTTTAGTTTTACTTACGTCTATTTTATATGTCAGTTTTTTATTTAACATAATTTGCATCTCTTTAAAGTTGGTATCACCTAACGTTATCCCCTCAATTTAATTATAGTAGTAAAGGATATAAGGACATTCGGTCCATCTGATCCATGCTAGGGCGATTCAGGTTAGTCCCAGCCCGCCCTCCTCTTTCTCAGACCCCGAAAACGTTTTCTCTTTTAAAGAATTTATCCAGTTTCCTTTTGAATCTGTTTCAATCATCCTATTAGACAGTACATTCCTAATCACCTATTGCATTCAATTTTCACCTACTGCCGCTGGTTCTTTTCCCGGTCGGACCAATCAACGTCTTTACTGTTGCCTCTTGACTAAATGTCCGTGCATTTTTTCTTCGCTCCTTTGCACAAAACTCCGGTTTCCACTGATAACCATTCCCACCGCTCTCCAACTACTGCAGTTATGCATTTCTGAAGGTAACTGCATTTCAAAGGTTAACTCTGCTTTCTCTTCACAAATACTGCCAGGCCCGATTTCTCCAGAAATCTCCCCACCCCCAACCCCCGCAAAAGAAGACATATCGAGAGCGAAACTGAACTAATTATGTACGAATGCCTGGCTTTCCAAGGTTAGAAAAGTTTCTAGACATTGCAAACAGTTCTTGACATAACGATCACCTGTTTAATTTGACCCACTAAAATAAACGTCGTCACTAAACTGCACTATAAAGCAGACGCCCAGTCACATTAGGAATAGGAAATGTTATTACAACAACTACATTTGTAACAAATGTGTTTATTTTGCTTAACTATAATGTGAACGTTGCAGCTGTGACCACAGTGCCAAAGCACATTCGGTGCCACGGCGAAGAACCGCGGAAAAACAACTCCCAGGCAACCTATGTAAAAGTCTGATTTCTGTCACGGAATTTAAGGAGCGAATACAATGCCTCAACAGCCCATGTGTCAGGACGTTATGTTTGGAGAACAAATCCTGTGCGAATTGGGAGGAAAAGAGAGAGCAAGGACGGTGGGGAGTGAACTGACGGACTAGCCGGTAAGTGCGAAACTTGTGGTTGGTGGGGCGGCCCGGAGTGCAGGATAGAGACGGCAAAACCCCTCGAGAAGCCAGTCCCCTTCCTTTGCAGGGTACAGGCGCATAACCAAAGTTAGATTTCTCAGAAGTACAAACCTTCGCCCGCTCTGATCCCACGCATTTGTTCTTCGCAGTGCAAACTTCCAGGGTTTTAAAACCAAATGCTTCGCTCGGTCATGCCGATGTGAAAACGAATCCGTGATCCCCCGTTGTGAGAAGTTCTGTTCAAACGGAACACAGCGAAGTCATCGGCTGGATCTTTAAACTGCCCTCCCCCACTGGCGCCCCGCCTTGGTAAACACAAGCAGATGGGAATTGGAATCAAGAAGCTTCACCATTTATCCCATTCCGTTGAACCAAACCAGAAAATTTACAATAAAACACGTGCTCGTTGATTTTTAATAAACCGACTCTCAATTTCGTTCTTCGAAGTTTCGGGAAAATTAAAGGAACGGCATGTCCGGGGGCATTGAGGAGCAAGGGATTACATTTTAAATCCACTCAGTTATAATCGTGGGCTTAAATGAAGACAGATTTTTAAACAGCCACATCTATATTTAAATTGATTCCCTACTCGATGATGTTTTTATGTGTTACAATAAACATACTGCTCATCATGAAGATATTTGCAGCTGTGTACTGCTACTCCAGTTCCGTTCTTAAGCAGCCCTAATGTGGAGGTGGTGGTGCTGGACTGGGGTGGACAAGGTCAAAAATCACACGACACCAGGTTATAGTCCAACAGGTTGATTTGAAAACGCATGCTTTCAGATCTCAGCCCCTTTCTTAGCTGGGCTAGAAAGTTAACCGTTTCTTTCCACAGATGCTGCCAGTGTTTCTCTTTAGTAATTTCTGTCAGTAATTTCTCTCTTTGGTTTCAGATCTTCAGTGTCTGCAGTTCCCTGTCATATTCCAGTGTCCATCATGCACCATTTGGGAACTCCAGGCTGCTCCTAGTGTCCAGGATAATAATTTCTGCAGGAAATGATGTGTTTCCTCTGCAGTTTCAGAGTATGGAGAGAGAGGGAAGGGGTGACCATTATACAGTCACGGAAAAATACTGACTGGATCACATTCTCCAATTATTATTCATAAAATGGAGGCACCAGTGTTGGATTGGAGTGGTGGACAAGGTCAGAAATCACATGGCAGATTGGTTTTATTCCTAAAGTAGGAATTTACAAAACTCAACATTGACTCCAAACCAAAACAGAAACAGATTCTAAACAAGGCCTCACACCTGACATGCACTGTCTGAACTAAAACGTCACCTCTTCCTTACAATGATAAAACTTTTAGTTCTCTCAGGGCAGTGACTTCAAAGGAATTTGGGGATTTACATATATATATTAATTAATTAAAACCTTCTAACTGATTAAAGGTTTAACAGTATCTTATGTTTGTTTAGTACATCCTCAGTGATGCGACCCTTTGATCTTTTACTTATAAATGCTGTGTCTGACACTACCTCTCTCACTAACACCTGAAAAAGGAGTGAGGCTCCGAAAGCTTGTGTTTTCAAATAAACCTGTTGGACTATAACCTGGTGTCATGTGATTTCTGACCAAACATTATTCATTTCCAACTATTGACAAGAGTGTTGATTCACTGGGAGTGCACCCAGAATCAGAATTTACTAGCAAAAAGTAGATTTACTAGATTCTATGCCTTTCAACACGATGTTGCTATCAATTTCATTTCAGTTCTTACTAACAAGACAAACCCCCCCCCCCCCCCCAAATCAATCTGCCAGTTCCTTTAATAGTCTATCCTTGGATTTTAGTTCCCTGCCTGATCCCCTTGCAGCCATGTCTCTGTGATACCCACAACATTGTACCTGCCAATTTCAGTCTGAACTACAAGCTCATTTACCTTGTTTCATACATTGTGTGGATTTAAGTACAACATCCTTAGTCCTGTGTTGACTGCCACCCATCTCATAGTCGTCCCCTTGTCTGCTGTGCCTGAAGTTAGATTCCTCAGCCTTCCCATAATTTTTGTCCTATTACTTGTTCTGAAAGCTTTGATAACCTCTGCTGAGCCTTTAACTCTTTCCATAATGTTCTATGCAACTGAACCCATCCACTCACAACACTTTAGTTTAAAACCATAAACTGGAATGTATCTATGCTTTTGTACATTGAAATCAATACTCGTATCATCATATCCTAATCACCTACCTTTCAGGTCAGGTACTTAGCGTCTTGGACGCTATTTGCAACTATACAAAAGTGATAAACCCCAATTTGTAAAATAGGTTATTTCATTACCTCCCCCTTCATAAACTGCTATATCCTACAGGATTACAATCAAGCCTGTAATCTGTCTGCATTGTCATTTTAACAGATTAATGACACAAGTAACTGTCAGCATTTTCACGAATAGCACTAAACCAAAACAGTCGATAAGATTCAACAATATATTTCAACATGGGGTGGAATGGACATATGGCAGGAGCCCAAATCAACATTCATCTGACAGATATTCAATTTCACTCCTGTGGCTTAACACTCTGCTTAACAACAAACACAGCTCTAAGTCACAAGTGCACCTCAAGTTACCTAAAGCTTGCTTGCAGGATTCATTCAAAGCTTCTTGCTGGAGACAGGACCCCAAATGGCCACTCACACTAACAAAGTGCCTTTACACTAGTAAAGATCAGCAGAGTGTTCTCATAATTGCGCATGCCATTGCTTTAAAGATGCATCGATCAATATACCCCTCGGAATAAACAGGAGGTTCAGCCGCAAGGTAAGTTAAGCTTTATGATAAAACTTCATCCAGGCTCATATGAACACCTTCCCCGGTCCCCGTTAGGTTCAAGTGCGCAAGAACTCTCATCCACATTCTCTCTGACATTAGACGTGTTACGCCAGTGGAAAGTAAATAGCCACCAAAATCAGTAGAAAAGCAGGAAAGGAATATTAAGATAAACAGGTAAACATAATTAAGCTGAAACCACACGATATTAGTAGCAACTAGACTCATGGATCAAAATCAAATTTTGCCAATTTAAAGTCATGATTGTTTTAAAATAAACACCACTACATAACCCAGCATGACTCCAACCTAACCATATTTATAACAATCCTCGAACAAAGCTATTAAAACATAGAAGATGATAAAACATAGAAGATGATGAACCAATCATGAACCAATTCAAATCTGTGAGGACATCAAAGAAAGAATTACGTGCAAAACCAAAGGAACAATGCTATGAATCACTATCATATATTCTTGCACAGAGTGAGAAGTCGCACAGAGTGAGAAGTCCCACAGTTAATTCAGCCAGATAAACAATTGTCTGAAATTGCCAGCTATGCAGCAAAATAAATTGCTTTGAGACATTTCGGGACAAGAAAGGGCAACATTTATCACCCAACCAAACTGCCCTTGAGATGCGCTATGGAGCAGACCAAACCCCCTCAAAATGCATTTAAGAAGATAACTTTAAAATAAGTAAAAGTTAGGGTCTAGGCTAAGTGTAAGGCATTGGATTCCAGATGCAATTCAATTGGTCAAACTACTCACAGAACACAGGAACGGACCCTTCGGCCCACGATGTTCGCCTGAACGTGATGCCAAATGAACAAATCCCTTCTGCCTGCGATTGGTCCATATCCATCCATTCATTGCCTATTCATGTGCTTATCTAAAAGATCCTTAAATGTCCTTATGGTATCTGCCTCCACCACCAACCCTGACAACTCGTCCCATACTCCCAAATAAAAAATTCGCCCCTCACGTCTTCTTTGAACTCTCCCCCTCTCATCTTAAATGCATGCCCCCTAGGTTTAGACATTTCACCTCTGAGGAAAGACTCTGGACGTCAACGCTATCTATGCATCTCATAATTTTATAGACTTCAACCAAGTCTCCCCTCAGCCTCTGTCACTCCAGAGAAAACAACACAAGTTTTTCTAACCTCTCCTTATAGCTCATGTACCCTTTAATCCAGGCAGTGTCTTGGTAACCCTCTTCTGCACCCTCTCCAAAGCCCCCACATCCTTCCTGTATTCCCCGACCAATAAAGGCAAGCATGCCATATGACTTCTTTACCACCCTATCTATTTGTGTGGCTACTTTCAGAGGGCTATAGACTTGAACCCCAAGATCCTTCTGTACATCAATGCTGTTCAGAGTCCTGCCACTAATTGTATACTTTTCCTTAACATTTGATCTGCCAAAGTGCTGCACCAGATTAAACTACATCTGCCATTTCTTCGCCCATATCTGCAACTGATCGAAATCACACTGTATCCTTTGACAATCTTCTACACAATCCACAACTCCGCCGATCTTTGTATCGTCTGCAAACTTACTAACTTACCCATCTACATTTTCATCTAAGTCATTTATATATATCACAAACAGCAGAGGTCCCAGTACGGATCCCTGCGGAACACCGTTAGTCACGGACCTGCAGCCTGGAAAACACCCTTCCTCCACTACTCGACGTTAAGCAAAACACACATTACTTTTACCCTAGAGTTAAAGTATGGTCAAATTAAAATAAAAGAATTGGCTTAACTTTAACTCCACCAAAATGCTCAACAAAATAATAGATATGTTCATTGCTACTAATTAACTGTTCTAATATAGTAACATCCCATGAACTCGGCCTTTGCAAAAGGCAATTTCAGTTTAACAGATTATCTCACAAGCAATTCTGGCAGCAGGAAAAGAACTCCAGCTTTTAGCTGTAACACAGAGGAATAAGAGCTTCAACATCCAGCTTCAAGACCCCAGCTACTGGAGAAAGCGAAAACTAAAAATCTTGGTCCTACCTATTCAGACTGCTTCTATTGCTCCGACTTCAAAAGAAGCTATTTACTCTATTGGCTTCAAACAGACTGGTTAATACCTCTGTCTCAACCTTTTGTCATTAAAAAAAGAACAAAATGTACCTCTTAAGGTCATAATATTGTCACAGAGCCACACGTTTCAACCTCAGAAGTCCCTGTTATGGGAGCATTCCCACACTGTTGCCAGGTAGAAAGTTCCATAATTTCAAGTCAGTAACGATGAAGAAGCAGAATTATTTCCAAATCAGGACTGTATATACTTCAAGGGTTGGGCTGTTGTGGCACAGTGATTGCATTCTTACTTTTGAGCCAAAAGACCTGGGTTCAAGTCCCACTTGCTCCAAAAATGTATCGTAACGCCTGTGAACAAATATCTGATGGGACTCATGGAAAAGTGGCAGTGTCCCTATCTCTGGACCAGGAACCCCATGTTCGAGTCCCACCTGCTCCACTTTTGTATCGTAGCAGATCTCAAGATTGATTAGAAAAATCAGTAACTTAAATGGAATGGGCAGTATTCCCAATCACTGCACATAATAATGGCTGCTTGTTGCTTTATGAGTAGACATCTTCCTTGTTATGCATGTCAACACCAATACAA